AACATCCTACAGGAAGAGTAACTGTTCTTTAAGCATGCCCACTTGCTATGTGACTCACTTCCCCATTTGTTCCTGATTTAATCAATTTTCCCTGAGCAAGTAATCTTATTGGTTGATCACAGTTCTGTCCCATCTTATGCCCACTTTGTAAGTTCCCATGTCTTCCTCCACCCTGGACCCATCTCACCTCATGGTTTTACTCTATAAAAGTCCCTAGAAAAGACAGAGTTCTTGGCAGCCCACTTGGGACCTTTCTGTCTCTCTCTCAGATGCAAGGTTTCCTTCTCCCAATTAAACATATTCTGCTCTTAATCTCCTAAAATTGTTGTTCCTAAAATTCATTCTTTGATTTAAGAGAACACAAACTCATACCGGACATGTAGTAGGTTGGGAGTTTCATTCCCCCGTATCAGTAGGACTGAGATTATAGGCACAGGCTACCACACCCAGCTCACATGATTTTGATTTGCTTTTCTCTGATGACTAATGATGAAGAGAATCTTTTCACTTTCTTTTTAAACATTTGTATCTCTCCTTTAGGAAAATGACTATTTGGGTCATTTCCTCCTTTGCAAATTAGCCTTGTATTACTGAATTATAAAAATTCTTTGTATATTCGGGAGATAAGTCCTTTTCTAGATACATGACTTGGCAATACTTTCTCCCATTCTGTGGGCTCTCTTTTCACTTCTTGTGTCCTTGGGGGGCAAACATGTTTAACTATTATGATGTTTTGGAGAATTTTAGGACACAGGTCAGCTTTTGACATGGCCCTTGTCACCCTCTGTGATGTGACAGTCTCATCCTCTTTCTGTTCAGCTCCAAACTCTTTCCATCAAACTCCAGTCACTCTGTTCTTTTTTTTTCCATTTTTCAGGTACATCAAGCTTTTTCCTACATTTGAATTCTGACATTAAAATCTCAGCTCAAATATCACTTGTCCAGAAAGGAATCCTTTAACATTCATTCAAATCATTTATGTCTAGTCATTACCACATATTGCTTAATTTCTTCATAACCAGAATATTCCAGAATCGAAGTTGTACTACAGCAATACGTGTATGTATGTTCTTCGTGGCTACACCCTAAGTACCTAGAGTAGCACTGGTCATACAAACATGCAATCAATATTTGTTGAGCCAATGAATGAATGAATCTTCTAGCCCATACATTATGCTAGAGCCTAGGGACAAAGAGCAAATGAGATAAATCCCACCTGAGATGTGGTTGTGGAAATACACCCTGAGGTCACTGTTCTCGGAGGAGGTATATAGGTGTGAGCAGAAAGCTCATGAAAGAATGAGTAAATTTTTTAACTTTATTTTTAAATAAACTGCTTTAAAAACATCATTAAGAAAACTAGAGCATATTGGCTCAGCACATACTTAGAACTCCATTATTTGACTTTATTATGTTCACACATACTTCCATTGCATTTCACACCTGCTAACTCACCTTGCAAAAGTTTTCACATTTTCACTATTAGAAGAGAGAAATGAAGGGCCTCACTGTACTCTTCCTACCATCTCTTGCTCCCTAACAGTAACAACCACAACAGCAGACTTATAAAAGAGAAACGTGGTGATGTGCTGTTATCTGGGGAGGAAGGGAAAAGCTGTCTCCTTTGGTGAGCTGGTCACATGCCCGAGTGTCCACTAAGTAACACATCTGTGAGTTCTTTAGGCTTGTGTACCTTTGAAGGCTCTAGAGCCTCACCACTGAGACAAATACCTGATACAACTTAGAGGAGCAGAGATTCACCTTGGCTCACATTTTAGAAATGCCAGTCAGTACATCATAAGCACCATGGTGGAAGGGCCTGGACAGGGGAAAACTGCTCGCCTTTTGGCAGCCACAAAGCAGACAGCTAAGGGCAGCTGGAGAGGGAAATAAACCCTTCCAGGTCACACCCCAGTGATTCACCACCTCTGACCAGATTCCACTCCTAACGGCAAACCAGTCATAAGCCCCCACTGTCCAGTCATCTTCCGAAGGCCCCTCTCATGAGCCCGTGAGTCTCTTGGGACACAGCTAAATAGAAACCACAACGTCCCTGGAGAGACTTCAGTTGATAAGATCTTTCTCACCCAATTTATGAAATTTGTGTGAGAATTAGATAGGTAGATATAAAAATACCTTCAGGGTTCAGTGGACAAAAGATTAGCTGAGCATCTTCAGAGACACCCATTTTATGTCACTTTATGCAGGCATAAAAATAGTTCCTAAAACAGCCTTGCGTTTACTCACCTGCGTTCTTCTGCCTCAATGATTTCCTCTGCCTTGAACAACCTTCCCCTTTGGTTTTCCCCACCTCACTCACTCCCATTTCTCGGTGTCTACCCAAAGATCCCTTCTCTTAGTAACGCTGGCTTTGGATATGTTGGGCTCCAGAATCTCCAGTCTAAACTATCATTCAGACTGAAAGCATCAAGATGCATGAGAATGAGTGAAAACGTTCTCTATAAGAACTACATGTGTGTTTTCTACAAGCAACTAGAAGGGCACACAATGTGTTCTCATGCCACCAAATCTTAAGGAACTGGATAATTCTCAGTCAATATGGACAAGGTGTAAGTATCTACTTAGAACTGGTCAAGAATGTTCTTCTTGGGGCCTATGTACTGCTTTTTCACCTGCCCATGCTGCTCTTCTTCCATTTGCATTAATTCGGTACACTGATTTCTTTCTTCAGAGTTTAAGGAAGTTGTTAGTTGTTGCACACATGCTTTGAAGCTGTATGCAGTTGTTCAAGAACAAAAGAAAAAGAGAAAGAAAGAAAGAAATTGGGAGGGAAGGAGGGAGTGAAGGAGAAAAAAAGGAAAGGAAAGGAAAAACTGAAAAGGAAAGAGGAAGGGAAGGAAAAGGCCGGGAGAGAAAGAGGGAAAGGAAAGGGAGGGGAAAGGAGGGGAGGGAGGGAAAGAGACACAGCAGGAGCAAGAAAAGAGGTGAAGTGCAGCCTGCCCTCTATCGGTCACCCCAGGAAAAGAAGGCGTCTTTTTGTAATCTACCCAGAGGCAGCGACATTTTCAACTCAGCAGTATATAACCTAGCAAATGTCTTTTTCTGAAAATACTGGTTAAAACATTCAGTTAATCAATTAGGTTCTAACAGAAGGTTGTAGCACTCCAAAGCCCTAAATGAAAGGACCAGCTCTAGAACCTGGCTTTGTCTCCCCCTAAGCTCAGGGTTTCTGGTCCAGGGCTCCCAGGGTCTGATAAGCGTGTGCTCTCTCCTCTTGATCACTGTCCAGCACCCTAAAGAGCAAGGGTTTTTAAACTTTTGATTAAAAACTCACTTCCTAATTGCATTCTAAATGGCGACCTGCTCTCTCTTCAGCATAATACTTCCTCTGTTATACTAGTCCCCCACTCTGTAGGTAGTAACTGGTACTTATTATAGTTAAATTATGTAATATTCAATATCCTGTAGGTTGCACATGAATTACAACTAAAACTCAGCATCTAATGAGGAAGGCCACTTGATCTATGAATTTCACCCATATTTCCTTTTCTCTGAACTGTACATAATGCATTTCATAACACTGGGATGAAGAATAAAATAACTGTATGTCTGACAGAATAACAAAAAAGAGTGAAACTACTTGCAATTATTTTTAAATACTTCCCTATGACTTTAATGAAATTTTAAATTTAATGCAGCTCCACACCATGTACGTATGTATGATGTTCTATAAGAAAATCTTCATAAAAGCCAAACACCATTAAAATTAAGTATGTTGTCTTTAAAAGGAGTAGATGTCTTTTAAGTGCAGTGAAACCTAAAGATATGACTTCAAATTAAGTCCAAGACACCATGAAAACAGGAGATGGCTGTTGAAAGGATTAATAATGAGAAATGACAGAATTTTGTTTTATATCTATCCTGCTTTGTGTTCCCCCATCTTCTTAAATGCAAAGATACTATGACAAATAAAAATTTAATAAGTAAAAAATACATGTTAAATGAAAAACCATGATTAACTTATTAAGAACCATTAAGTATATAATTACAAGGATTCTATTACATTAAGATACCAATTTCTTTAAAGCCAGAAATAATACCTATTGAAACTTTAATTATTTAAATGAGAAGAGAAAGAGGCATGTTATCTTCTCTGACAAAGATTAAAATCAATTTAATTGCTTCTCTGCTGCCTTGACATGATTCTTGCTGTGAGTCAAGCAACCAAAAAGGGAAATTAGTCCTGCAGCTGTTAATCAAGGGATATCCATGCACTCCATTTGATTACATCAGGGAAAAAGCCATCACCACTTGGCTGACTCTTGGGTCTCCACCTCTTTTCCTGTTGTAGACAGAATAACTGGGGGAGATGCTGAGGTTGGACATAATTTTTGGAGCCTGTGATAGCACTAAGGTGAGGCATGGTGTCAGAACATTGCAGGTTGCCGTGTTTGAGCCTGAGCAAAGGTAGCTTTATCAAGACAGAGTTTTGTTCCAAATTAAATTTATCCATTGGTGCCTCGTTTGACTGTTACACAAGGTAAGGTACAAAGAAACATAAGGGCATCAGAAAACCAGAGAACAAGAAAGAATGCAAGAGTGTGGCTAAGATTGATGCCTTTTTACCTGTAAACATGACGCTATATTTCTCAGAGTAGACAGTAACAGTTTTTAGAGGTCAAATACCAATTCTCTCACCAGAACTGGAATGTGCACTTGAAAGCAAGGTGTAGTGGCAAGCCACGCCTACCTTGTACCATCCGCTGTCCCCAACCCATTTAAAAGTAAGGCCTTTGTCAAACACTAGCACTGTATGAACATCCAGCAGCATCTGTACTTGGCAAACTAATGTATCTGATTGTAAGAAAATGGTATTGTGAAATATTTATGAGTCTGGAAATATAAACTGGTACCCTGCCTCATCATCTCTTATCAGCCCTTGTTAACTTTACAGACAACAAGAGAGACTGGAATAAGTGGGGTTGTCAGAACCAATAGATCTCAGACACATTGCACCCACAGAGTCAGTTTGCACCCACCTCATCAAGGGCTCTTGTTCCGGAATTTTAACCCTCTTCCTTCCTGTTTGCAAGACACAGAGGTGATATTAACAGTTTGCAAGCATGTACATTCAGTGGGGGCGGGGGAGGGGGGAAGACGACTGCTTCTGAGACCCCTACTCATTTCCCAGAAAGGGAATAAAGACTGAAAGATTTGATTCACAGGGGAAAACACTGCCTTTGGATTTTTTTAACATCACTACCAGTGACATCAAGGTTCATGAGGCAAAATGTTCATCCAGACCAACTGGAGAAAAACTTACACATCCCAGGAAACACTGAAAGGCAAAAGAGACGAAACATACTGTTCTCCAAAGATAACTCAACATTTCTTCCATTTCAAAAAATATCATCAGTGACTCTGGTCAGCCCATGAGTTGGGTAAGATACCCATGGGCTCTTTTTCACCCCAGCACAGCTACCCCCAGGACCTGTAGATGACTTCACTTGGCTCATTTTCATCAAATACAACTCATCCTTGCTATATTGGATCACCTTGCTATTAGCCTGGCACTGTCCCTCCCCATTTCAATTTGACCAAATTGAAACAGATGCCCAGAGGCCACGGAGATCAAGACTGGTATAACAAAATTCGGAGCCAGTTTCCCAGCTTAAATCAATATTTAACGGTAAGGCTGCTTTTATTTATTTATTTTTTGGCAGGCTTTTACTGGCAAATATCACTTTAAACTGAACGCCAGAAGCCTTAATTATAAAGGATGACATTCAGGATATATTTTGAAAAACAATACCTCATTTGACAAGACAACCTGGTAGTTTCAGGATTTGTAATCCCCCAGAATAAAGAGAGGAGGGGGCTATTGTTTTCTATATCCTTCAAGGATGTATTTAATTATCTCATCTTGAAACATGCAGATAATTCTAATTGGAGGGAAGAAGTAGACAGCCGTGAGAGCCATTAGTCAAATGCAGCAGAAGCCCAGGGGCCACCTGCAACCTCCCAGGCACTATCCAAGCTGGGTGAGGACTCTAAGTAAGATAGGCAAGAGGGGTCTGCCACCCCTGCCCCACCTCCAGCTCAGTGCTGCAGCAAACATCTACCAAAGTAGGGTGTGATAACCCAAAAAATCTGTACAAATAGAGCCCTGGTTAAAATTGAGACCATATGAGGGGCTGGGGATTTAGCTCAGCAGCATAAGCGCCTGTCTTGCAAGCAGGCAGTCGTGGGTTCGATCCCTGGTACCCGATAAAAAGGAAAAAGACAAAAAAAAAATTGAGACCATATGGATGCTGCCCCTTGGTCACCTTTATCTCCTCACCACACTCCCCAGCATGTATGGTCAGTCACCTCCTGATGGATCAAACAAAAAGAACTGGGAATGAACTGATACCAAGTTAGAAATAGAACTTTCTTGGGCTTGTCAGGCTGGGCAAGACCAGACTAGAAATTTTGTTTCTTTACTCCCATTTTTGAAATGAGCTGCAAGGCCGAATTGTTCTTTCTGCCTCACCTATACTGAACATTCATAGCAAAATGAAAACAAGGGATCTATGTAAGTAGCTATTAAAAATCAAGACCAAACTCATGTACAAGGTTTACAAAACGAATCCAAACCCAATTTAGCAAACACCATTGTGGAGCTAATAATTGTTCATTACTCTCAAAGAATCTATTTCACATCATGCACTCAAAAATAAGCAAGCAGTGTATGTTAGCAAGCAGCATATGTTCTGCAACCAGACTCTATGAGCCTGTCTTGTGAGGCTGCCATGTACCCTCACAAGTATTTTGCAGTTCTCAAAAGAAGTTGTCGTTTTCTTGAATACATCAATTACAGGGCGGAGATTAGGAAAGACACTCTAATACAGCTCACCCAGAAACAGAAGGGATGCAAAGCAACCATACAAAGGAAGAAAAAAGCCAGTCCAGTCCCTGCTTGGGCACAGAGCCTGATTCCCCCGCCTGCAAGAACACACAGTCAGGAACACCGGTCTTTCTATGTGTTGTCCCATCCTACACAACGTTATGTTGTTTTGAAAATTCAGACCAGCCTCCAGATACCATTCTTTTTCCTCTGTAAAGTAAAAAGCTCTAGAGACTTCTCCCCTTAAGCCCTCAGGTCTCCCACCACTCACATCATTCCCACCCATGCCTTCCCAGAGACTTGCCTTCTGCTTCTCCTCCAGCTTCTAGGTGAACAGAGTGACTTCCATAGGATCTGTTCCAGACAGTCCTGGGTGGTCACACCCCCTTCTATGAAGAAACTAAGGGGTACCCCATCCACGCTGACACACGAACACAGTTGTAGGGCTTTAATTTTACTTTGCCTTCCCTTTGCAGCTTGCCTGTCTCTCCCATGTCTGCCACCCGCAGCAGGAGATGAAAAGAACAGAGGAGGCAGGAGCTCTTGTGAGAACCACGGGAATTTGGCAGAACCTTTGTGAGAACCATATGGCAGCAACTTTGCAGTACATAAAGTATTTCTAAGGGAGAAGACACTAGTAGGATCCCTGAAGACTTCAGCCTTCTCAACCTGATTGATCAGCCCTGCAAAAAGATGGGAACAGTATTTTCTGGAAAGAGTGTGCATATGTAAGTTATACCTGACCTTGGTGTATCTAAGAGTAGCAGGTTGGCATTATATCCCATAATATAATTTACAAATTCAAAAAGTGAAAAAGATACTATGCAATATTTCTGATATCTACTTGTTATTAATAACCACCCTATAGTACATTTTACTCATCTTTCTAATTAAGGCACTGGAAAAAATAAAATGTTTTTCAGTAATTTATCTTTGTAGCAGAATTATTTTGTCAATGAAAATCTCATTCAGAATTTAGGTAGTGAAAAAATGATAATAGAACAGAACTGGTCAGAGCATAGGTAGTGAGTTGCAATCCTCTTTCTCATCTTCTGTCTCTTTTTCTCTTCTTTTTCTTTCTTTTCTTTTTAATGATTTTTCCTAGGACTATTATTTTGTGTTGATTCTAAATAAGTAAAGCAAAGAGAGACACTTGTCTCCATCAACTCTATCAGTGTCAAGCGTGCCTTGCTGTTTAGCTCAGAAAGACAAACTGTGAGCGTGTACTACCTTCAGTGTGTCTGTGACTTCCGCGCCAGCCCCTCTGTCTCCATGGGCTTCTCACACAACCACCCATCAAGTAGGACTGCACTAATGACTTCGAGCCACACTCATAGACGTAGTCCCAGCACACTGCCTTGGGACTAGGCGGTGGAAGAGTCTCTGGAGAGTCAGGGAAGAAGGCCAGGAGAGTGATTTAAAAAGCGTCAGTCATGTGTAAATTTTGTTGTAAAAAAGAGAGGGAATAAAAGTGCTCTAAAGGATACAACTGCAAGTGTGTTTAGGGGTGTTAAATAGGTGACCATATTAATGTTTTTGGTTGGATCATTGAACACAACTGTTTGCAGTCTCATTGTTTGAATGTCCACTTTGTATGCTTTGATACTGTGACTTGAGCAACTATCGCTAAGATGATAATGTGTAATCTATTAACTGGTGATTTCTGTGTTTTTTTTGTTTTTTTTTTTTTTTTTTTTGTAGTTCTGTATTACTTGTACCCTTATACCACTTTGTTTTGTTTTGTTTTTTCTCTTTTTCCTTTTAAATAAAATGAAAATAGATAAATAAATAAATAAATAAGTGTCATTCAGGCAGCGCAGAATACAAGATTCGTTTCCTTTCCTCAGGATCTGGAGTTCTATAAACAAGCATGTTTTCCTTGGACAGTGGGACTACAAAGAGAAGTCCCAGGGAAATGAGACACTGCACACATTTGTGCAATGAGATTCAGAAACAAGAATAGTAAGACAAGTAGCTTATAGTGGCTAAATTGTAATTATAGCTCAAAATACTCATCTTGAGTCCTAAACTTTTAGCAGTTTTAAGGATAATAGAAATTAAGATGCAGAACAACTCACCTCGAGGTAGACAAGTAGTTCAGTTCCGCTCAGTTCAGTTCAGAAACAGTAAATAAATTGGGTGCTAGACTCTGGCTAGGACATCTGCAATCCAAACAACTACTAATTTAGGACTTCAAGAATTCCCTAGTGAAAACAGACTGGAACCCTCACACAACACAGCGGCCTACAGATGGTCTGAATTTTTAAAATATATTTAAACTGCAGTCCACTTTTAGGATAATCTGTATGGGTCCTTTATTTCCAGGTCATTTTGATTGCCTTCCCTATGAATTTTTGTGGAGCACATAAAATCCTAAGCAAAAGAAACTGTTGAGACATTTTAATGGAAATAGTCCTGCTCAAGGGACCTAACTCTTAGTCAACAGGAGGAATGAGGGTAGTACCCTAATGAGAAAGCATCCTTTAAATATAATCACTAAAGATATGTGTTCAGTAACAGTGATTAAGAATGCATTCCAGAACAAGAGGTTAGTGTTAATATTATGCACTTTCTATAGGCATACGTCAGGATGCTTTTAAGAAATAAGAATTCTTATTAGGAAGACACACAGAGGAAGTTCAATCATTAGGAAACGTAGTTCTATCCCCATTGTTAGTTTTTTGGAATAATATTATTTCCCATTCAAAGTTTGCCACAGAAGGATGGGTCATGCCATAATTTCTCAAGCCACCGACTTCTTTCTAAATAATGACCTTAGATATTTTACTTAACTATTCAGAAATCCTTGTGAAAATATGATGATAAAAAGAATGACAGTGAAGGCAATGACATTCAGTTTAAACCCACCTGCCACTTTTGTGGGGTGGGGGTGAGGTATCAGGGATGGATCTCACAACCTCACACTTTCCAGGCAGGCACTTATGCTGCTGAGTTATACGGCTGACCCTTAGTGTTTGAGTCTTAGCCAAGAAGCCTAATTCTAGCATCAAGTCCTGAGGCTCTTGGAATTGGGGTCAGACTGAGACATAATGTGACTTAACAGACTAATAATCTGGTGGCCTTTAGCAATTGCTCTCTTGTTTTAATTAAGTACTGTGTTTGCTCAACATTATCTACGGGAGATTTTGAGGACTAAGATAAGAAAGAACACTCTGAAGTATTGAGGTATTCTTCCTTGCCTGTTGTTAGCAATTTAGTTCTGGTCAGCTTTTGCTACTCAAGAATTTACATGCTTTGTCACCCTCCTTTCCAAAGCAATGTATTTGTGTCTTTCTTACATTATAAAAAACTCTACATGTGCCTAAAAGGAGTCCTAGATACACCATTTTTCTCCAGGAAGTGACCCAGCTAACCTCCTATTTTAAGCTGAGCCTGAGCAGAGTTTCCTTCCTGCCAGCTTCCCAGCTGAGCACATCTTCCAGTTTAATTTGGTTTGGGGTGGGCTGTTTTACCAGATCAGCTGAAATCACATCAGAGTGACAAATAGCCAATGTGTTTAGCATTGTGGATATAGCTAATACAAACAATAGCAGTTAACAAATCAAAGGGACAAAAACAAAGTTGGAAGTGAAAAATCATCCAATCTGAGTGTTGGGAGGAGGGTAATGGAACCAAGCAGGAGCAGGTCTAGAGTGAAGGATGCACCATGGCACCCAAGTCCTGGGTGCCTCCAGTGAGGACTTTATAGGGCATTGGGCTTCTCTATACTTAACCGTGACTCAAAGATGAGTCCCTGGAAAAACTGTTGTAAGAACTAAATAAAATATTTCATGATGAGTTTCTTGTAATTCTTAAGACACTGAGCCAATGCAGTGATCATATTTTGCTGTCCTCATTACCAATATCTCTCAACTACAATTTGCTCAGCACTCTTTATGCCCCAGAAAACATAAGTAAGTCTGGAGGAAAATACTAATGATATTAATAACTATAATGAGATCAGGAGTCAGACAGAATTGAGTTCAAATCTCAATTTCTTCATTCATCAAACTATAACCTTCTTTAATTCCTTTAGCTCTGACCCTGAGTTTTAAATTCTTTAAAGTGGGGGATAATAAGAATAGCTCGAAGGGATGATGTAAGATTGAAGGGAGAGTTCCTAGAGGGCCTGGTTCTTGGTAGATTCTCAATAAATGGTGTTTTTGCTGTTATTATTTTTACTATTACATTGTTAGCCTGGGGTTCTTTGAAGAAGGCTTCCTATGAAGACATACTTTTTCTGTAGCAAAATGCAATGGTGATGACTATTACTAAACTCCAGTAGAGAAGAAATCCCTAATTTAAATCCACAAGTACAGGCATTTTTAAATATTCCAATGACAGCAAAGTAACTCCAGGATCGGCACGGCAAAGTAGTTTTTGTTTCCTTGTGCTGTATACTTAGGAGGGACAGAAAAGAAAAGAAAAGCTAAAGTGTTCACGGAATTAAGTAAACCTTGTTTTGTTTTCCTTAGGAGAAGAGAGATATTTCTGAGGACTTGAAATTTTTGGATTTCAAATTTCTAAATTGAGTATCTGTGTCCTCAAGACCAGAAAAGAATATTTGAACATCCCAGATTGTGTGAGAAACTGTGGGAGTTTCTCACATTTCTGTGGGATGGGGCGCAGTGGAGGGGGTTCTCTCTCTTGGAAGACTGACGGCAGTGAGCTGAGCTGAGGGAAGTCTGGCTGAAGTCGGCCACTGACTGTCCCGGCATGCAGGAAGCCCCCAGAGAGGCACCAGAAAGCAAGTTTCAGTCGTTCTCCTTTTGGATGTAGTCACAGTGTGCGCCGTGGAGAAACTAAAGTATACACAAACCCAAGGCATGGCAAATTCACAGACAAACCAGCAATTCAACAGGTCTTGGCCCCACGGATTCAGCTTCCAAAGAGGATTGGTGGAGGCCACAGAGCAGATGTTTGTTAGGTGTGCTTTCCCAATGTGTCTGCGCAGCTGCCTTCTCAGCCTCTCCCTGTCTCATCTATTTGACATGTCACCACTAAGCTATATGATCCTGCAGTTACATCTCTAATCTCATATTCCTCTCTCCGACAGAACAAATACTTGGAAAAAATTATATATAACTTTACACCCAAAGCAGTCTTGTCTGCCTCATTTATGATAACTTGAAAAATATGCTTCTTCAAACTTTCTCTTCTCTGGGAAAAGCAGCTTGTGCCAAAGATCACAACTGCAGCCTCCTAGGAACTCACTTGCTGTTGCCCAGTGCATGGGAGGCCCGGGTTGCTGCTCAGTCCTCTTCCTGAGGTAGTTAGACAGATGATTCCCCAGCCCCTTACGCTCAAAACCTAGAGCACTGAGTCCCAAGAACAGACTGGAGTAGTCGCTGGAAGCACAGCCAAGCCAAGGATTTACAGATGTTCAATAAAACCTGCAGACAGCCCACCAGAATCCCTGCAAAGAGCTGCAAGGGCACAGGTCCAGCTCAGCTGGAAACGAGTCCGCAGTGAGGAAAGAAACAAGAATCCTAGCTGCTCCAGATGCGCGCTGGTCACAAAGGACGTGGAGGAGCTCAAATGCGT